TGACGTGAGTGGGTCTCGCAACTCACACGGCGTGCTGCCTGTACTCGTCGAATGGTCTCCATTGACCAAGCATCACGCGCACCATAGACATGTCCACCCTGCGCCTTGGTCAAGCCGATCATCGCTCGTGCAGCAGAGCAATACTCAGCTGCATCCTCTGATCCTCGGCAAATATCTTTCGGTCTTGTCAATGCCTCTCGCGCTTCCGGCTCTTCCGTATTTCAGACGTACGGAGTGAGCGTCACGCCCACCACCTTATTCTTTCTGAATGGCAATCGACGAGCAGAAGTCAAGGGAGCGGACGTTAGCGAGGTGCAGAGTCAGACGGATTTGCTGGCCTTCGAGGTATGGCAAGGTGAGCCAGTATGCGCAGTGTTCCGGACCTGCTTCTTCGCCTCAGCTAATTGAAGACGTCGCCTGTCATGCCATGATACCACCGCCATCTGCGACGACCTGTCATAGCTCATTCTCACACGCAGATAAGGAACTTGGGTCCTTTGCCGGTTCCTGGCACGCCGATACAATTTAGCACCAAACCAAATTTGGACGCACTTCTTACGAAGCTGGACTCCTTCGTTTCTGCGAGACTTCTGGAAGAGGTGGCCAGCGACGAAAAGGCTAGTCTATCAGCGGCAAGGAAGAGCGTCAAAGAGCAAGTTGCTGCTTGGTTATCCAAGGTCGACTCAAAGCCTGCTCTGCCGTTGGGTCTGCTCGAGGGCTGGTCCGACGCGCACATCACCTTGCTCGCCCTGCTTCAGCCAGCGCAGATCTTTCCTCTACTGGATCTGCTCCGACTAGCGCTGCTCGATGTCCAATTTCTCTCCTCACTCAGCCGACCTGCGTCAAGACCTCACGCGGATCAATTGCTCGTGCGAACGTTTGAGTGCGTGTCTTCATTCACACAGAAAGACATCGCTTCGCCAAGCGTGAGAGCTACCATGCTCACATCGCTCAGATTGCTCTGCAATACACTAGCAGCGTTGGGGGACGAACCAGCTTTGGCAAGCATGCTCCTGGACAATCCAGCATGCACTAGCCTCACCGCCCTACTCTCTGCTGGCCTTCTTTATGAAACTTCGAATCCGAATTCGGACGCAAGCAAAGGAGCGGAACCCGCGGCTGGCATGCGAGCGGATCAAGGCATTGCGCTGTCTGCCTCTTCTGCCGCCTTTAATTTGTTCTTGCTCCTTTCTCGCACAAACGCCAGAGCAGGCTGGCTCAGAAGAGACGAAAAAGCAATTCCTCACCGTTTCATCCTCCACTCGGGGCAGAATGGAGCGGTAGGGGAAGAGCAGATAGCTGCGAGAGAGTGTGTACTGGATGGAGAATGGGAAGGGGAAATGTTGACGGCGCTTTTGCACGCTGTGGTCAAGGCTTGCGAAACGTGCGAGGCAGAGAGAGAAGGCAACAGTTCGACTTTGACTGCATGGGCGGACGTGCGTGAGTAGGTTGGATGTTTGCCGTTCGCTCGGATGATCTCTCCATTCGCGGAACACTATCCAGTCCGACTCGACGATTCGAGGATAACTCTTTGGACTGACCCTCTCGACCGTCTCATCCTTTACGTTTTCAAAGTGCACCGACAGATTTCAGCCCTGCTCTTGCTCTTGCATAAATCGCAGTACTGCGTTGAATCGCTCGACCCGCTGGCGCAAGTGTTGGAGGCAAAAGATACGATCAGGCGTGTGGAGAGCTTGGCCAAGGGCTCGATTGGACAAGCGAATGTGGACAAGGAAGAGAGGAAGAGGTGGGAGAGTGTACGTGTTGGATGTGAGAAGTTGGCATTGATCCTTTGAATTGACATGCGCTGCTATACAAAGCATGGAGAGTGATCAATCGTCTTCACACCAAAGCCAGAGACACCAAGTTGAATGACTCGTTTGTGAGGTATGCTCTTCGTGTGACAGGGCAAAGAGTCAAAGTGGGAGGCTTTGTTTGCACTCAACTCGCGACTGTGACTGCCAGACTCGTCACGAGTGTCGGTATACTGTACGCAGGCGGGACGCGCCGCGCGCCATTGTTCACGATGGCCGACGCGCACGGTCCAGCCGAGGTCTCAAATTGCAAAGTGCGACCGAGCCATCTCG